GATGCCCGATACTCCGCCACCGCCTCCCTTGCGCATGCATAGTATCGTTATCGAGGCTATCGGAGGTATCGGAACGATCTACTAAAACTCTCTACTAGCAAGGCGAACCGAACGCTCGCGGCGCATATGGTATGGCCGCGAAGGACAGCACATGCAAGCTATATATTGAGACTGCGGCCAAAGCTACAAGCGGGAGCTAGCCAGAGCCCCGGGCTTTGAAACGCGCATTTCTAGAGCCATGTCTCTGCTCGTGCGGACTATAGTAACTGTAAATGCTTACTCTAGTGCGGACAAGCCCGTGAAATTGCAAGCTTGCCAAAGCTAGACGTTCACGCGCGCAAGCTGCACGTGCTTGCTTGCATGGGGCACCAGCCGGGCCCATGCATGCTTGCAATAGACCAATTTCACCAGCCCGTTTGGGTACGCTGCCGCAATGCCGGCAATGCATCGAGGCAATTTGTCTTTCTGCACGTGCCACCTCGCTTTATAGTTCGCGTACAAGACACGAGATGTCTCGGGCGCTGTCGCCTGTCTCCTGTGAACTAAACTTATGGCGGCTTCACGCACGTGCCGAACGCTTGCCTGCCATTCTTCAATTTTCTTGTAGATGCCACCATCTTGGCGCTTAATGCTGAGCGCGCGCGCATTTGGCGATCGTTGCGATTCGAACATGCGAATTTTCGAGCTTCAGATACGGCATCAGGAAGCTCATTGCCTGTTTTAACAAGCCCGGAGGACGGAAAACACTTTCCTGTGATTGCAGACAAAACTTCAGATGACCGGCAACAATGATTTCAAGCAGCAAGATCCGGAAAAAGGGGGACGATGTCATTCTTTTTGCCCGATCCTCCAATGGTCTTCCTGACGGTCACCTTCGTGCACGGTCTGGTGATAGTTGCAGAAATGTATTGCATATTTGGTGGCTCTAGTAGGACGATAAGAATGGCCCAAATCGTCCTACTTTCTTCGCGTACGTAAGATTCTGGACGCATGAAAGAATCGCGATGAACTTCACGAGGATCATCACGACCCTTGCACTGCCAGAGGAACACGCGATCCCTTCGATCTCCCTGATAGCGACTCGATAACGCTCCGCGATCGGACCGTGTGCGAAAGCAAATCGAGAAAATACCTGGCCCAGGCGTCGGTCTTACTATCCATGCCACGATCCTCCACAATGGAGCGGAGCAACTCCTTGCGACGAACAGCAAGACGAAAACGTCGTCGTCTTCGAAAGATCCGCCGCAGAGTGACGTCGTAATGACGTCCCCAGCGGGCCCTTGGTGGCATTTCTTTATTGAACCGGAAGCCGTAATTGGACACTTGGCGTCGCTTTGCAACTCTACCACAGTGAATTAGACGACGACGATGACGACATAAAGCCATACCGGGTGAGTGCGGAGCTACATTCTAGCCCTGGACGTTACCGCATCGGAGGTGGCAGCCGTCCACTTCGACTGGGCCACCTCCTGAAGCCGTTCGAAACCTTCAAGACACGGTAACGTAACTTAACGTAAGAAAATGAGGCAGTGTGAATGAGCCTTTACACTGTCAACAATGCTCTTCTAGGGTATTGAACCTGCTGAGCAACGCAGAAGTCGGTGGCGCCAATGAGTGGTGCACGTGCTCGAGGCACGTGCTCCACTCAGTAGTCAAGGGTTCTCCAAACCCATGGGCACTCTTCCAACCCGCTTGCTTCCAGCTGTAATGTTGGAGGTCTAGAAAAAGGGAAGGGTTCCCTTGGATTGAAACAACAATTCGTACTGGCGTTTATTCGTTAGTTCGTAGCCAACTTGGAGTGTGTTCCAGTTGCCAGACCAAGCCAGATTTATGGCTAGATTCCACTACAGTAGACACTACACAAGCTTCCAGCAGACCCGGCTGCTACCGACGCAAAAAGATGTGCGCTTGAAAAGACGGTGCCGGTTCTCTCGCCGTAACTGAACACTGTATAACCAATCTTCTTAGTCTTCAGGTTTGAGTAATTTGTTCAAACTCCCTCTTCCTATGTACTGATCATGGCGAAAAACAGAGCACATGGAGATAAGGACACAGTATAAAGAAAACTCCTGTGCGCTGTTTACCACCATGTTGAAGCTTGCCCAACTCACCACCTTGTTACATTTCTTATGTGTATTGTATCAGCTTAAGTTTACCATATTCTCATTATTCTTTTCCGCTGCGCGAATATGCCAAATTCTCCACGGGCGCTTTGATTCATGCCCGGTGAGGTGTCGTACTCGCAATTGTTGTGTAGCGTCATAATTAGCTAAATACTAAATTTCAAAGTGAAATAGTTGTATTCAGAAAATTTAGCTTTTTTTTCCTTGTTTAAATATTAAATGTTAGCCAGGTCTACTTATTTAGATTTTCCTCGTTTATAATTACTCGTTTTCTTCCCGGCCCTCGAAAATGCGGCAGATGTCATGCCTAATCCGGCCCCTTAGCCAAAAAAGTTTGGAAAACTCTGGTGCAGTCAAATGGGAGCTACAGTAATAGTGTAGTATATGCAGCCAGCACGTGCCGAAACAAACGCTGAAATAAATTCTAAGGGCATGTCACACCGTTGCAGTGCCGACAATGCAGATGTTCTTGCTTTTTTCATATACCCCCCCCCCCCCCCCTCAATTAAAAAGAAATCTATGTGTGTTTGTTACAAGTAGGGTCAAATGCACCAATGATCAAAGCCAGTGTAGCCCTAGTATTACAGTGTAGCCTTTGGAAGCCAACAATGCGCATCACTGAAATCAGCGGTCCATGGAAGCAAATGGGGACACAGTACATGGCACGTGCCTCGCGCGCTTGACAATAATTGTTAACACATATGAGGAACAAAAATATGCTTGATTAAAGAAATTGTAACAACTAAGGATCTTATCTGTTAAAACGCTTTGGCTAAGAATCCGCGATGTGAAATGTTGCGACAAGCTGACTGCACACGACACGGGAGACAAATACGTACGTCACGCGCGCCTCCCTACTACCACGTTATTGCCATCGGTACGGCTAGAGCACTTATGCCTCTATAGTGCTCTAGGTACGGCAGGTTTATTTAATTGGTAAATCGTTTTAAAAAAATGTTTTCTGATCTGATCAAAGATCGGTTTGGCATAGACTTGCGTCTATACCACACGGCAGCGGACCCCCCCCCCCCCCCCCCCCCCCCCACCCCATACCTCGGCAAACCTCACTCATGAGGGCCCTCACTCACCCTCATCTTTACAGGTGAGGTGAGAGTGAGTGAGTTTCTGAACCAGGAAAATTCATGAGTGTGAGGGTGAGTGAGGGCTGTGAGGGCGGTGAAGGCCGTGAGGGCCGTGAGGGCGGTGAGGGCCGTGAGGGCGGTGAGGGCCGTGAGGCCCGTGAGGGCCATGAGGGCGGTAAGAGGTATGAGGGCCATGAGTGCGTGAGGGCGGTGAGTGGCGTGAGGGCCATGAGTGCGTGAGTGGTGTGAGGGCGGTGAGTGCGTGAGGGGTGTGAGGGCCATGAGTGCGTGAGGGCAGTGAGTGGCATGAGAGGCGTGAGGGCCATGAGGGCGGTGAGTGCATGAGGTGGTGTGAGGGCGGTGAGTGCGTGAGGCCCCCTTCAGATCGAGCATCTTTCTCAGCAATTTTGGTGTTAATGGCGGGTTGTTCTCAAGCTTTCCCTAGATCGACACGAATTGCTGAGATCGGGTCCGGCTCGAAATAAGCAAGCAACTCGGAGCAATTCCAATACGTTTGAAGCGGCTGCATCTAATCAGGGACGCAAAATTTTTACGTGATACCTTGTGCCGGTGATGATAACACCGGAAGACTTGGTTCTCGTTTGAAATCGATCGTTTTTTGGAAATAAATTGTTTCAGAAAAATGCATTAGTATTCTTAACGAGATTTAAATGCATAAAAACACGTTTATAACGCGTAATTGTGTCTAAATAGTGCAAGAAAAATAAACTTTTATGATGACGATGGCAAATTGCAGCAATTGGTGATCGCGGGCGGCGCGTGTTGCTGGTGTTGCGACGTAAAGTTTCTGGGCGAAATTGCCCCATCTGAAGCTGGCCTGAGTGGCGTGAGGGCCATGAGTGCGTGAGGGCCATGAGTGCGTGAGTGGCGTGAGGGCGGTGAGTGGCGTGAGGGCCGTGAGGGCGGTGAGGGCCGTGAGGGCGGTGAGGGCCGTGAGGGCGGTGAGTGGCGTGAGGGCAGTGAGTGGCGTGAGGGCCATGAGTGAGTGAGGGCCGTGAGGGGCGTGAGGGCGGTGAGGGGCGTGAGGTTCAGTGAGGGTGAGTGAAGGGCTGAAGGTGAGTGTGACTGTGAAGGTGAGTGAGGGGCTGAAGGTGAGTGTAGCTGTGAGGGTGAGGGTGAGTGAGGGGCTTAGGTGAGTGTGGCTGTGAGGGTGAGTGAGGGCGACCTAAAATGCCGACCTCTGCCCCCCCCCCCCCCCCCCCCCCCCGAAAAAAAGTATATTAATGATCGCAATAGGCTACGATAAAGAGGTCCGTCTTTTACAATATCTCCAACGTCGTTCGAAGCGTCATTAAGTGTACAAGATTTACGTGATCTAAATTAAGACTCGCTTGCACGAACGTTCGCGCACTGTAAATAGAAACAGCGGACCACGCTTGAATCCCCACAGAAGGCGCATCCCCTTCGTAACAATAATCAAAGAGCCGACACACCTACCATAAAAAAGCACAAAAAGGCGGAGAGAAACACCTAAGAGGAAGCGAACAAGGAACAATGCGCAGTGATGCGACCGAGGGATGCGTCGTTCTTTCTTTTACATTTTTGCTTCTTTCTGATTAGCTTCCGTCTGGTCGCGCCCCCTGCCGCCGCCACAACGATCTAGCACGGCCGACTTTTATCCGCGGAAAAAGATGGCGGCGTGCGTTCGGCACGGTCGGAGAGTAGACGACGTCCCCGGTTGTTTCAGCTACTTTAAACGTCGTTAGGTGTGCGCAAGTGACTGGTGCGACCGCGTTCGACGGAAACGACATCGTACGACGCCTACGGGACTCACTTTTCGATGTGGTAGTACATGTATCCGCCGCGGTCGCTCCGTTTGAGCACCCGTCGCTCGCCCGTCAACGGCGAGTCGGTCGTGTCGTCCGTGGCCTCCAGCTTCGCCGAAGAGCGCAAGCCCGCTGCCCACGCCACCGCACCGCCGTCACACACACACACTTCCCGTGAACGAGCACGAATCGTCACTGCGCGCACCTGCGACGACAACACAACGGCAGCAGCAGACGCTATCGGGAGCAGACGAGCGGTAGCACGTAGCAGGAAAGCACGCAACGCCAAGCCAGCCTAGAAGCTCTGTGACGTTTTCGCGGCGCTTTATCCTCTCGGTCGCTGTCTCTACCCTGTTTTATCTCTCCCTCCCCTACCAACACACCCTCCCCACCCGTCTCCTCCCCCCACTCTTCCCCGACCCTTTGCTAAAGCCGTCTTTTTACCTTACACACCCGCACCCCCCCTTTCCAAGCCTTCACGCAAGCAAGCCAAAGCAAAGGCGTTCTCTTGGAGGAAAGAGGGAAAACCCTGCAACGAGTAAAACGACCAAATCCATGTCCCCCACTCCTTCCCTCCCTCCTCCCTCCCCCCTCCTTCTATACCCCCCACCGGAGTAATAAAGACAAAAATAAAAAAAATCCTCCCCTCCCCCTTCTCTTCTGGTCTCTCCTTTCAACCTTCCCCTTTTTTGCGAGAGGGAAAACAGAGGCGATAGGCCAGCAGCTGCAGGAGCAGCCCAGCTTTCCCTTCCTCTCTGCTGTTTTCCCTTTCCCACCACAATCCTTGAACAGAAAGAAGGAAAGACGGATAGATATGCGGATGGAGGGGGAGGAAGAAAAAAAAAAAAGAGCGGATTCGAGCTGCAGCAAACGCTTCTGCTGAAGCTAAACGCGAGTAGCTACCCTTTCTCTCCCACCCTCCCATCGGATAGCAGGAGAGAACAAAAGCAAAAATAACAGAGCGAAGAACAAAAAATACCTCGGTGCGGGGATGTGGATGAGAGGAGTGAAACTACGAAGGTGGAGGGGGAGGGTAACAGCAGAGACGCTCCTCGTCGCTCGTGGGGGGGAGAGGGAAGGGGGAGGCGAGAGGGCGACACGAAGAAGTGGAGAGAGGGGAAGAGCGAGAAGCAGACGACGAGAGCGCGCGCGGAGAGCAGAAGAAACAAAACCTTGCAGACAGAACAAGAAAGGAGTGAGGAGATAAAAGAAAAAGGAGCATAGAAACAGATAGAAAGCGAGAAAGAGGAAGAGGGAAAGAGAAGTGGAGGAAAAAGAGAACAAGCAAAAATTGAGGAAGTGGTTAGAGAGGTGGGGGGAACGAACGGGTAGAAGAAAGAGTGGGGAGAAGAATACAAAAGCAATCACACAAACGCATGAGAGGAACGTAAGAGAGGAAGGGGGAAAACAAGGAGGAAATGAGGGGGAGGTTAGAGGGAGAGGACGTAGCGGGAATGAGACGAGGGCGGCAGGAAGTAATGAAAACGCAAAAAAAAAAACGGGAAGATGTAAGCGCTAGGCTAAAAGCAGAGAGAAAAGATAAATTACAAAAAGTAGCACCTCCTTCCTCCTCCCCTTCACACCCTTTCCATCCGTTTCTTCTTACCTTGGTCTCTTCCGAAGACAGCAGAAAAGAAAGGAACAAAAACATTTTTCTACAAAGGAGAGACAGTATTGAAACACGACGTAATAGAAGGTTTTCCGAAAGAGACACATTTCGCGGATAACCTAATAGAAACCAAAGCTGCCCGCGTTTAAACATCCCATATCCATTAATTTCGCCCAAAACAAACAAACAAACACACACACAGCAATGGAAGATCAACAAAACAAATGCAAGAAAGACACACGCCATATGCAAACGCGACTTTATTTTTCTGACAAAAGAACAAACCAACAAATGTTTATGTGCGTTAACTACAAACAGGTCATCAAATCTCGCTGGACGCTCAGCTCGTACAAACGAAGGCCCGTGTGGCCTTGTTTTCCAACTACAACCTCCTCCTAGAAATCGCACACGCGCCATAGCCACCAACACATATTCCTCAATTACCTGCTTAAAAAAATCATTAAAAAAATCAGTATTTACAGTTAAGTGCATTGCACGACTTACTTCCATAAAAAAATGGGTCAACTTGACCGACAGCTTTCCTTTTAGTTTTTTTTTTTTTATTTATTTATATGTAGATATTTAGATCATCTAAAAGTGGCACTTGCTGTTTTTGGTCGCCCCCCCCCCCCCCTTTTTCCCCTTCATCCCCCCCCTCCCCCCAACCCTCCTCCCCTCCTCTCTGAAGTTTCCAAATCTGCTAGTATTGTTATTATCACCACTCAAGAATGGTTGCAGATAATCCTTATGTAAGGTTCAGAGTGCCCTCGTATTAAAAGGGCAATCCACATCACTCATGCCATGATGAATCATACTATAACTACCGTAGACATCACAGTGCTTTGTACAGAATATGAACCAGTGAACAGAGCCACTGCAGTGCCTCAATTAGAAAAAAAAAACGAGTTTGTGTCTTGATCACTTATGCCTCAAATGGATCTATTTGACACAAGCACTTTATTTTGATAAAGACTTAAACCACAAGCTTGAGTCTGCGCATAAAAGGACTCGAGATGCTTCAGACACCTAAAAAAACAATATTTCCTGTCAACACAGCATTATCTGTACACAACAAAAACAGTTTCAAAATGAAGGTTAAGCACACGTTGGGTGTGGCGATTGCATCTGTTATTTGCGCGTGTCAAAACTGTATTAGTATGAATGGGCTTCATTATGGCTGAGATCTTCAGTTTGGCACACATACGGCTGAAATCCCAGCTCGGCTGAAGTCTCAGCTAAGGCTGATGCCCCACCTTGGCTGAAGACTCAGCTTGGCTTACATCCAGGGACATCCTTAGCTTAGTAAAGTTTATGCACAACTAAAGTTTCAGTCAAAGCAAGGAATCTCACCTGAACCAGGGTACCCAGCTGAGCCTGAGTACCCTGACACAGAGTGAAAATTTTCAACAAAACTGAAACCGAATAGAAAAGTAATTAAATAACAAAATCCCTTTTAGCATATGTCACGAACAGCAGAGCATTACAAGCTGTTTGTGACGCTGATATAAATGAGAGCTTGCTATCTGTCAGCTTCTTCAATGACAGTCAATAACTCGTAGACGGGGTGTGACATAAGAACACAAAACCTGAAAACATGCATATAAGGCACATTTCCCTTCACACCGAACGTGCACCGAACACCCGGCAGATAAAGAGGAAATACCGCATGGTCCCGTGACAATGTTTCCATGCACAGTATGCACCACACATAAAAAAAAGGAAAAGAATAACAGCCTGTACAATTCTGCAACTCCAAGATTGTCTTAAGCAGACAAGCTGCAAGTCATCTCTGAATTAAGCACTGAGCAAACTGCGAACTTGTCGCAACTGTGGGCACAAGCAACCAAATAATACAGAGCAGTTGACGGCGAAAAAACCGAAACACATTTTTTTGACACGACATACAGTCACTCATACTCAACAGCAGCCCAAAATGACGGAATAGAACTAAAACAGCGATGCTGTACGCTGATCTGTTACACAATCAGTGACTTACAAATAATTTTTCCGAAAAACCTTTCTCCTATGCTTTGTAAAAAAAAAAAAAAGGAAAAAGGAAGTACAAAAAGACAGTTGTTCCATACCAGCACACCCAAGCCGCTAAAGTTAAAAGCAAACGTAACAGCCATAAAACTTTCCACCAAACAAACGCTTTGAACATCATGAAAAAACAATAGAAACAACAACAGTTGCAATGCTACTAACTTGTACACTCTAGACAACATTCAAACAAACAAAGAAACTGTTGGAAAATAAAATTGTTGCAGAACGAAATGGAGAGTGTCGCGCGCCACAAACGCCCTTATTTCAAATGTGGCAAGTGTTTTGTGCAAGTTGATGTTTAGAAAGAAAGAATACAAAATAAGAAACAGTGAAGCAGGCGAAGCACTGAACTTCTGTTTCTGTTTGTGCTTAAAAAGAAAAAAAAAAAACACTTACAGCCTTTCAACTCTGGTGAAGAAGGAAGACCAGCGGAGCTGTAAAATGGAAAGTAATGGCTGGCCGCAAGTCGGCAAGCCAGAGTGGAAAGGCTGCCGCCATCTATGAGCGACGGCGGCAACCAGGTACGTGGCTTTCCGCCGTCGCTCATAGATGGCAGTAGGTGTCCAGAGTTTGGTGTCTTCATTTCTTTGCAGGGGACACGATCCTGGGAAAACTAGCCTTTAACAGCTCCGCTGTGAAAAGTGACGCCCGCTGACCAGACGTTGCAATGGGCCGTCAAGACCAGAAAAGTTGGGCGGTGTTTTTGGAGTCTCCATAACAAAACAAAGGTCAAAGCCCCATCCAAGCAACGCAAGAAAAGAGATGAGGGAAGTTATAGAAGAACAAAAAAATAGAAAGTTGTAACTAGAGAAACACCACTTGTAGGAACGTTGTTGTTCGGCGCATCACAGAGCTCGTCAAAAGTCCTCCCCAACTGGTACAAGTGACGGACGCAAATCAATCCTCCTTAGCTTCCTGTGGCACACTGTAGAGGGCTTTCTGCACATACTCCGTAAAAACGTCTGCAAAAGAAACAAAAAAAAAAAAACAAAAACAAAAGGATTTACAACAGTGATGGACCCGTGCAGTGTTTGGTAAAGCGTATGTAAATACGAGCAGCATAAAGTAGGCTTTCATGTAGTGTAAGTGCAAAGTAAAATAACTGAGGTGTGCAAATGCTCGAGTTTCGAATTCGAATCGGAGCGATTGGTCGAATACCTAATTTGACACGATTTTCAAATTCCTAGTATTCGTCCTTTGTAATAATTCGACAGATTAAATGCTGCTGGACAAAGTTCAGGTTTATTCAAGAAGGCTGTACTGAGAGCGACATGGGCCATAAAGGTCTCTGCTGGATCGAAATCAATCCAGCATTGAGAGGTCTTGACTGACTAACCACTTCAATAAAAAAGTGGTCTGTGTCTTGTATTCCTCAAACGAAGTAGTGGCCCTTTAGCTTCTTCGATGCGCTCAACGAAAACCTGTAAACTACAAGAGTTACCATTTTAAATTCAAGTATCTTGTGGCACCTACCGCCAGTTCTGCTCTACAGACTGGATTTTGTCTTCATAATATGACAATAAAAAGAACATGCGCCAGGGAATTTAAAAAAAAAATTATTTATGATATTCAAATGTAATTTTTAGTTTATGCTGCCTAATCTTCTCTTTATAAAGGTAATGCTAGATTTGATATCGCTTATTTTTTAGGTTTCTGATGCAATGTAATGCAGAAAAAGACATGTTCTTGTGCACACGTGACGCAAGGCAACATACTTAAAAAAGCCTCGTTAAATAAACTAATTCACTCCTTTTAAACCTAGAGCACTATATAGCTCCTTCGGAGCAGAGTAGCGCAATCTAGAACGCCGTCTCTCGGCGACTAGCGGCGAACGCCCGGAGGTTCCAACTGCGGTCAGAAATGCATAGAGAACGTGAGAAAATCGTTGTTCCTTCAGTTTTGTGGGGATGTACGGAATGGCAATCATTTTTGACATAATAATGAAACATTTTAGAATAATTTGCGATAAGTTTTGTGCCATGCAAAAACGTAACTTTTTTTTAAAAATTGCCTGAGCGGCATCATGCAGCAGACGACACGGCGACGTCACACCATTCACGTGACCCGCTCCGGCCAACCCGAAAAGCCCATCTCCGCTGCGAGCAAACATCGTCTGCTTCAAACGCCATTGCCCTGGAAATTGCCTTCTCAAAATTTGCACACGCATCCGATATTATTCAAACTTTGATAGAGTGTTCAGCGCTTTACTAACTTCACGACAGGCTAGTTTTGAAAAGTGTGAACTCGCCGTTATTTTTTTAATCAGCCGTGTTATGTCGATCTCCATGTATTCTCCCATAGGGCGGGCCGCCTCTTGGAACCCTGAGTACCACGTGACTCGCGCCGAGCTGCTCTGTCGGCCATGTTGTCGGCAAAACACGGGGTTCAAAGGATTGCGCTACACTGCTCCGTAGGAGCTATATAGTGCTCTATTTAAACCAAAGTGCAATTAACTTTTTTTTTTCATTTTGAAATAATTAAAAATAGCAAAAACACCATTTCAAGGGGCTAACAAATGTTTCTTAAATTTTTCATAAGTATAAAAAAATATACATTCAACCAAAACCTAGACACTTGCATTCTACATGTGCTAAAGTATATGCATGCCAAATTTTGTTGTGATAGGATAACAGTAAGAGTAAGCATTCTTGTGCACAATCTGAAAGATACCCCAAAATTACATAAAAATAAGAATGTGTTCGAATTTTACCATAGGTGTGTACCTATATTCTTTCGTGGTGCAAAAAATAATACTCTTGTGCACAAACTGAAAGATACCCCAAAATTACATGAAAATAAGAATGTGTTCGAATTTTACCATAGGTGTGTAATAATGCTCTGTTAATAAATTCCCGTGAGAATTTCAAGCTACAGAAGACCACAATGAAGAGGAGATGGCTAGACTACTTGTCAACGTAAATGCGATGGCGGACGACGTTGCAACTTGAAGAACCACGCCGGAGAAAATGGCTCAAATTTATGCCATTCTGGGTTGCCTGGCGGTCTTCAAATGTGTTTTTGGCTAATTTCGCAGTCATAACCAGCACTAATTATTTTTATACCTCAATATAAAGATTCAGAAATAATAAAACACCATAAAACACAAAATCAATTTTTTTTTTTTTGTAAAAATATTGCCGTTTTTCGGTTTGCATCTCCCCTTAATTACCAAAATATGAATAGAAATGATAATTGAACCCGTCTCGCTTGCTACCCCTTTTCCCGCGTTGTTGGGCAAGGTGCTGACAACACCTCGATTCACACCGTTCAGCCACGTATCTGTCTATCTATGCTGCATTGTGCAGATGCTGTGCATCCACGCGTGGATGGGTGAACACATTTTTCAGCTGCGTCTCAAGTTGCCAAGCTGTTATTAATTGTGTTTTTATTCATGCTAGCTACTTGTCAGTATGCTTGCAGTAAAATAAGCATGAAGACATCTTTGTTTTTATCCACGCAGTGAATCTTGTTAAGTTTATGTGCATTGCAAATAAAAATTGCGATACTTGATGGTCCATTCAACCTTCAACTTTCGTGCCACTATTTGATTTCAGCTGAAATTTCATTTATTCCTTTCCAACGAACACATCAGAAGAAATGTAAGGTAATGCAAAGAATTCACCCCTCAAGTGTTTTGTCCTTATTTCCGGCTCATTTTCTAAGCTACATTGTCGACGGGCACTTTGAGGGCTAGGTCTCTACAATGACTCGTTTATGTGTCTCTTGCACAAAACGGTTGCTCAGGGTCTGAAACTTTTTCGAGTTTAAATGGAGCCCCTGAAACTAAAAGAGGTTGCATCCAAAGCGGCACTCTTTGCACGGGTGTACTTGAGTCAACCTATCAACCTCATTTCAGTGCAACCTTTCTAGGCATACTCAATGTTTCCACCGGACACTACCCTTAGCAAGGCCACAAAGAAGTGAGATGGACGTGTGACGTACGTATGGTCCTCTGGTATCCCCTGGGCTTGTCCTTCCAGTAGATGGTGAGGAAGTAGACGGGGATCCCCGAGAGCATGATGCCCGCCCCGATGGACGTCTCCAGCGGCTCGCTGAAGAACGGCAGCACCACCAGGAACAGCGAGATGAGGAAGAACAGTACCGGAAGCACTATGTTCACCTGGGGGTCAGAGGAGGCATCTGGTAAGGGCAGGGCTAGATGGATGCTATCTGATGTACCCCAACAGGAAATGGGTGGAAGCTTGAACTACTTAGCTTATTTGATTCCTCGGGCCCCAAGGCGATTGGGCACATGGAGTTCAAAAGAACAGCATTTCAAGCACTATGTTCACCTGGGGTAAGGGCTAAAGGAGGCATCCAGTTAAGGGTAGGGCCAGATAGACGGAATCTGGTGTGCCCCCTGCGTGTATTGGGTGGTTCCTTGCACCTAGCTTTGAGTTTATGAACTCGGAGGATTGAGCACATAGATTTCAAAAGAACGACACTGGATCGAAGCATGTTCACCTGCGGTGAATGATCAAAGAAAGCATCTGGTAAGGAGACAAGATGGACAATGTCTGGCATACCCCTGTGTGTGACAGATGGTTACCTTGCACCCCTAGCAGTGAAACTGCACTTTAGAAGGGTTGGGTGCTTGGAGTTCAAAAGAACAGCATTGGAAGCACATGCTTGCCCAGAGTGAGGGGTCAAAAAAGTAGGGAATAGATGAATGAAGTCTGGTCTACCCCTGAATGTAGTGGGTAGTAGTTTGTGCCACCTAGATTTGAACCTATAGAATCTAACGAGAATTGGGTGCATGCAGTTCAAAACAACAGCACTGGAAGCCTTCTGTTCACCTGGGGTGAGGGGTCAAAGTAGGTATCTGGTAAGGGCAGTATACAAGCTAAATAATATCTGGTGTACACCCGTGTGTGGCAAATGGTAGCTTGAGCCACCTAGGTGTGAAACTTTGAACTACAGGAGGGTTGGGTGCATGTACTTCCAAATAACAGCAATCAAAAAATGTTTCCCTAGAAAGGGGAAATCAATATAGATGTGGTAGTTGATATAGCTAGGTGGACAATGTTTGATGTACTTTTGTGCAAGAGGTGGTAGCCTAGCTGCATCATCAGCCTTCAATTCCTTGGTGACTCATGTAAGTTTGGAACAAAAGCTTCTAAGTGGAGTACATTATAAGAAATGCCAACTTACTTGTCACTTTGAAGTGGCATTTCATAGCTAAAATAAGAATTGCCTCTTGTACGTCTTCAAGTTTAAATTCAAATACAAAGTTACTTGTTACCTCAGAGTCATGTCTCACATTTAAGTAGCTAGTAACTTTAGAGTAGCAACAGTGCAATTGGTATTCACCTAGTTGGTCTATCATGTTAAGATGGAAGCTTGGGCGAGTTGGCAATTCATAATAGCAACAAAAGCCCTCCTCCTTTTGTCCTTGTCTTTTCTGTGCTGTTGCTGCTATTATGGCTTATCATTATTTGATGTAACTATGCTGCTAAGATTTTAAAATCAAATGACACTGGGACCAGGAAGAAACATGACATACACATCTATGCACAAACCAACAGTTATAATTAGAGCACCACTCCTATATCATACTTGGAGAAGGCATTCAGATACCCTGCTATCAACATTCAGCGACGGCCGGAACCGTTTGCAAGAGCAACCAATCAACGAGCTTCCTTTTATTCTCCGGTCACCGCCACAGATTCCCATACTCTGAGGGACATGCAGAGACTCCAAAGGGCAGCCATCTTGGCAGGCCCTAAGCCCTCACCTTGATGGGCCTCTTAGTGTCCGGCTGCTTGACCCGCAGCCACAGCAGTCCTCCCACCGACAGCATGATGAAGGTGGCTTCACTGAAGGCAGTGTACGTGATCAGAACAAAGACGTCTGTGTTTGTCAGGTACAGCAAGCTCAGAAGGCACTGCATTAAAAGAAAGAGATCGAGATGGTATTCGATTTCAACAAATTCAAAGTGCCAAACTGGCACGGAAGAGCTATCTATAATAAGCTACATTTTAATCAGCAAAAAAAAAAAAATATATTTATTTTTTAAATACTGTTGCGTGCTTGTCAGCTGAATGCTTGCACTACTCTGTATCATCTTACGGCAGACTGCTGGGAGGCTACAGGCCATCCCAGTCATTCTAGCGTTGTGATTAATGTACTATCACGTGAAGATGCAAGGCATGTTGCATGTTGCTGCACCCTTCCAAAAGATCATGTGATACTGACAAGGTATTATATATTGGCTTCCATGGCTCATAACATTTTATCTTGCCATTGAACAAATGGCAAGGTCAAATGAAGTACAGTTATTGTTCCACTCTCCCGATCCGCTCTTTCCAATATCAACGAGAAGTGTGTTTTGATACCAGCAGGCCTCTTTCATTCTTCTTTTCAAGCTTTTTCTTTTTCGTGTTCCAAAGCATTTTTAGCATGCTCAAGCATAGAATTTTTCTACCTTATTTTCTTGTTGTTTATTATACAGGTATGCTGTCAAGATGAGTTTGACGAACATGTTGGTTTAATATGCAATACAAAGAAAGCAAAACAGAAACAGTGGACAGAGACAGAAATGTCCGTCTTGTGGAGTGACCCTGGAGCTCATGATTTCATTTAAGGAAATGAAATGTTCATGTTCCCGAACGTCTGACTGCAAATGCAATACTAGTTTTGGTTGTTTAGCTTGCTCCTTGTTGACACTTTTGTTTTGCAAAAATTTGCATAAATAATCCTGTGCTGAGCATGAGCTATAAAGGTGATAAGGGATCAGTCAAGCAGTTTTGCAAGAGGGTCGACTGAACAGCATGCACTCACACATACGGTTCATTCAGCACATCAAACAATTCCTGAAAAGATTTTGGGGATCGTCCAACAAGGGACCTCCCAAAATGAAATATTCATAAGCTCAAGCTAAGATTGGGCTGGAGCCAACACGGCAATGTTTTACTGGCTCTAGTTTTACTTTCAAAATTCTGCCAGTACAGTACTTTAATGATGTAAAGGCCAATAACAGGATCCTTGGTTACCACTTAGCAGCACCTGGCGATAAAAGAATTAACCTCTCGTGTTAAGATCGTATTTTAGCAAGTTAGTCATTGAACTCCATGAGAGAGGAATGAAAGTTTAATAGAATGCCAGCTAAAAATTGCCATTAAATCCAATTGGAATTCCAACTGGTTTTAACTGGAACCAAATGGTTTTAGTGGGTTCCAACTGGAAGCACACTGGCCAATGGGTCTCACCAAATGGAATTATTTTTCCAGATGGAACCTGAATGGATTCCAAATGGTTCCCATTGGCAGAGACCAATTGGTTGTCCAAAAACCCAATTGGTACCAATTGGAACTTAATGGGAATTTTCAACTGGGAAGGCACAAATAAACGAATAACTTGCGTAATGTCACCGATCCAGAATTCTAAAAAAATGTACAATAAGTCTTTTTTTTTTTTTTTCCTCAAAAGTGTAGAGTCAATTTATTGCTTTGTTGCTTGAGCTAAAACAATTGCAGCAACCAGAAATTTAGTCTCTTTAAGTCATGTGTCAAAAGAACCTCAAAACTACCTTACCAGCTTTGTGTAACTAACAGACTTTGTTGCAAAGACCAGAGCAGCTGAAGAAAAAAGTGGATAGACTGCTTGTCTTGATCAATAAGTCATCGCTTAGCAGCGAGGCAAATAATTTACTTAGGCCTAGGTAATGCCCAGGGAACATCCGGAAGAATATACCTTAGAGCACAAGATGCAGGTCTCTGTTGGGCTTTAAAACGAAACTGCATGCCTCACAGTTGCGTTACAGGAGCACGAGCACAAGCGCGGCTTACCAGAAAGATGAGGCTTGGGGCTGGCGTGAAGTGAGAGACGTTGATCATGGCAAGGCAGGAAGGTAGGTGGCCTTGTCTGGCACCCACGAAGAACAGTCTGCCAACAATAAAGGGGGACGCGCTGCTTCCACATCGCCCGAGCAAATACAAGAACGCATACCGTAAAATTCCGAGAGATGCCCCATCCCCGAAAGATAGCCCACCCTTATTTTTGGCTCGATTTGCTATTTCTTCTTAAACACCGAAAGATACCCCCAGACTCCTAATAATAGTAGTATTGGGGTCAATGATGACCTCGGCGTAAATGCGGCTAGTTAGCTATGGCGGAATATAAGCGAACGTTGCTAGCTGAGAAGTACAGTTAGCTTCGTTGCCCCTCGCCACCATAACAAGCTTGAAAGGAACATGACCTAAAAATAGTCATGTTTTAAAATTTTCTTCATTGTACACCGAAAGTTAGGCCACTCCATATTTTCACCTGATTTGCTCTTGATGTTAGGTGGGTTATCTCTCGGGATTTCACGGTAGTCATTATCATCAACAGTGACCCTGAATGTTCCCACTGATGATGCAATGGCCTAGCAGAGACCTATAACTACACTTACTGAGATTCGTCTGTACACACATAAACACAAGCTCACACACGAATAGCTTTTCTGCGTTGTTGTCCAGCCTCGCACGAACGATTAGAGCATTTGACAGGCATCTGACAAGGTATTTACGCGTGCCTAGATGTTTACAAAAATGTGGCCTACAAGGACCCAACTTTCGAGGAAAAGATCTGCGGTTCGTAATTAAATTTTTTACGATGAAAACCTCCAGTCGGTAGCTGGCTTTCGTGGATAACAACACAGAACTGAATTATTTAAGAAGAAATGAGACATCTAGGGCACATTTTCATTTACAAACCTAATAGAGTTGATAAAGTGTTACTTTCATCACCACAAGCTGATTAAAAGAAAACCTGAATGTGCAATGGCAGGGAGTAAAACAATGTGTGCGACTTCCCAAGTCTGCGATTCGGAAAGTTCCTCTGCACCGGTTCACCGATTTCAGTTCAACTTAGATTTTCTCAAAAGATGCACAAATTTGTGGCAAAAAATTAAATGGGGGTTGTCTCAATGCTGTACTTGAAAGTTTTGTGCAAAAAAGGCAAGCGAGGCATCTTTCAAAAAACTTTCTTTGGAAGTGGTCACTGTTTATGTGGGTATGTTGACTTCTGGTCAACACAATAACAACAAAGTGTGGCGTGAGCCTCTTTTGAACTTCCCGCTTTCTATAAGCGAGGCACGCACGCGCGTGCCGTGGGGCCCGTGACTTGTGCTGGGCACCGATACACAAAGTTTTAAACTTTTCTCTCGCGACGACGCGAAGTACAGCATTCTAGCTTTCCAAGTTCCTTCGTACGAGTGCTCATAGTGACAAACGTGCACTGGGCATGAAGACTTACCGGGAGGATGCGAAGATCCCTCCGTTAAGGCCTCCAAAAGTGGAGAGGGCCACAGAGACGGGCATGATCCACGACATCACGCCAAGTATCCTCTCACCAAATGTCTGCAACAGAACAGTTTAACGCGTTGCCGTCAGTAGAGCCACGACAAAAAGGGAAGCGACCCAATGGCATGGCCCTAGATTTCGGCCAATTTTGTTCTCTCTGCCACAAACTGTATGGATATTGAGATGTCTGATCAATGGCGGGACAGATCGTCATCTAATCCAAACGTCACAAGAGAATCTGGGAAAGTTTCAATAGGAAAATGGTTGCTAACAAACCCCACGAGAACATGGGGCACAAACTACCAGGAATGGGCCCCCTTTTCCTATTGAATTAAGTTTCATAAAATTTTATTATTATTATTATTACTTGAGTCGGGATGCATACTGTTGTTTATCTCAGTTTATTATATAATTTTTATCCCTTATTTCGCCTGTGCTCTTTGGTTTGTTATGTTCTTTTCCTCCCAAAGAGGGCACAGACTCAGTCTTTAATGGTTGTTAAAACCGGAATACATCTACAAACTGCCCAGTGTTGTCACTAGCATTCCAGCAACCCCTCCTTTTTACACTCTAACTTACCCGTGTCTAGCTTTAACAATGACTGACATTCACAGATTTGGTTGAGTCAAACTTGGGAAGTAATCCATTACAAGTAACGGATTACTTGTAGTCCATTACTTTTTAAAGTAATTTTCCAACTGCTACATTACTTTTTTCCGGCAGTAATTTGTTATGTAATTTTGTTACAAAATATCGGTAACAAATCACTTTAATTACCAGTTACTTTTTAAAAATCTGAACATAAAATACAGAAACTAGAGAAATATGAGCAGGCAATTTCGCAGCATAAAGATAACAAGTTCAACGAAATAGAAAAGATTGTTAAAAGGAGAAAAACCGGAACGAAATCACAATTTTTTGTATGACTGGACACTACATTTTGTTTCACACTTAGTATACAACGCTGTCAAAGCTACTGGCGCAAACAAAGCCATCTACGGCTTTGTTTGCGCGACAAGGTGTGCAAATGATCAACGAGATCAAACCCCATGCTCGCACCAGCCGCTTTGACAGCGTTGTACACTAACCGCCGAAATCACAAACCTCACTCCAGCTGAGGCGCCCCTCCACCTCCTCAAGGAAGGTGCGAGGGCCGGCGCTGGCCAATCGCAACAACGGATAGGTGGCCTATGCTGCTTATCCGTCCTTGCGATTGGCCAGCGCCGGCCCTCGCGCCTTCTTTGAGGGAGTCGTGAGGGTCACAAGTCTCAGTTGGAGTGAGGCTTGTGAATTTGGCAATAAATATGAAACACTTTTTTTTTTATCTTTCTTTTAACAGAATTTAGGATCCCTGGGTTCTGCAGCGCAAACTTTTGCTCCACATGCTCCAAGTTGGTGTGCGCTAGCCCACTCGGCCACCGATTCCACTCATTGAAAATTCATTTCCTTAAATGTGTGTCCTACCCACTTTAGGCCCTGCCCACTTTGGGCACCAATTACTTTGCATCAATCACTTTCTGCAAAGAACACTTTGTGCAAATATCACTTTGGGCACTGATCACTTTGGGCCAAACCCACTTTGTACTATCTACCTGGGTTGCCCACTGGGGTACCCTAACATCTGTTTGGGGCAACACTTTAGAGACGCGGGGACTGGTGCAGATGGCTCGTGACTTCCACCTCCAGTCGGAGGGGGAGAGGGAGTAGAATAACTCCCGAAAGGTTCTCACCACGGCCACGGCATTGGATGACACCACCTCGTCGGCCGTGAGGACGACGAAGTAGGCGACGTTGGCGAGAAGGTAGATGACGGTCACCAGCGGCAACGATATGTAGATGGCGAAGGGAAGGTTTCTGAAATATGCACACGTGGTCCGTCTCACACTCCGTTCCACTTTAAAGGGACACTTCAATGCAATTTGAAATACGCCCGTCGCATTCAGATATAGGCTGAACATGATCCACAATATCCATAGATGACAATCGCACGTTTGTATTTTGAACCTGATGGCTGTATTTTTCGTTATAAATGCGTCCCAATCTGGCAAGTGCTCGGAGAGCAGCCAGCGGACAGCACGTCACATCCGGCGCAAACTCGACGTAAATCGTCCCGAAATGAGCAAAGCTGCGGCGAGCCTGACGTCGTCGGGATGCCCTAGACGTTCCAGCCACTGAAGCGGCCGAAGCACGCCAGCGATCAGGCCACTGCAACTAACCCAAAAGCTGCTTTTGTATGAATATTGAGTGCCAAGTTAATCTTCCATAATCTTGTAGAGGGACAATAGCGACGTCTATTGTCCCTCTACAACGTCCGGTAAGGGGGCAGTTCCTTCTTCCCCTGCCCTCTTGTGGTGGCCGGAGAGCTGGCAGGATATGACGTCAGGTCAAGGCCTATATTCGCGACTCCAGCGACCTATAGGGGGCGCCACCACCAAACAAACATGGCGGCTGAATCCAGGTCGCGTCGGCTCGGCAGGGCCGCCTTAGTCGGCGGCGCATTCAATTTAACAGATTTTCTTTTGTTTAATGCCCAATTCTATAAGTATTTTAACTGAGACGGTTAAGTGTAGCCGATGCACATAAACTTGCAGAGCATAGTTTTGCTTTCCAAGTGTGTTTCTTGTTCTTTTGATGTCAAACTTTTGTTTCGGAGATTTCGTTCGAAACCAAAACTATGGGCTCTGGAGAGACGGTAATATACTAATCAGTTTTGACCATGTAAGGAAAGCGGCAATGACTGCAGAATTCTCCCAGCAACAGTAATTTTCAGCCAACTCGCACGCCTCGACCATGCGACTTATCTGTCCGCGAACTCGAGCTTTTGTGCGTATCCGCGTTTAAGAAACAGCTTCAGTCGTCTGCTCGGTCAACAGCACAGGCTGTAAGAAAATTACGAAAATTAAGCAAGCGCCTCTTGAGCCAAGGAGCATGTTAACGCGGTGGCGCCCCACTAAGCAGCTGATACTCGTATTTCAATTCAGGTTTTAGTAGCAATCGAGAAGTCATTTTGACGAGCGGGTATGTATTATATTACGTACTATGTCCCACTAAAGCGATATTAGTATATTCTTCGGTTTGAAATATGAGCTAAGGTAACTAGCTATTAGGTGAACTGATGAATAAAAGTACATTTGACAGACAGAGAGGTACTAAGTTAAACTTAGCCAAATGGTTCTAGCCGGTAGCACGGAGACGAATGCGGACAAACTGAAGAAAGTCTTCATCGAAGATTCACGCAGAACCTCTCTGCATTGAACTTGACTTTGAATCCTGAACGGAAAAAATGAGTATTTTTGTGGCCGGTCAACCTGAGCCATGCAGACGTATACTGATGCTGGCTTAATTCGACGGGGGTATCATATAAATATTGGAGGCGCGATAGATCATAATGCCGTGACAGCTTCCAATGTTGCGAGACGTGCCTCCACCTTTGGAAAACAGATAATTTCCCTCCTTCATCATTTGCAGCGAGCAGGCTTTCCTGAATCAAGTACTTGCGAAATCAGCACAACTCCTTTAGAGTGGTCCAGATGCTTTTTCGGCGAAAAGCAGCCAAGATGAATAGCCAACGCACCGACCGGCGTGGGTGGCTCAAACGTGAAGCTAAGCGAACACAACCAAACTCAAGAAAAGCAACTATCGAACCTTCCCATTCACTTGACTGCAGCATTGGTGTTCCCTCCAGTGAAATGCCTCGTCTGTCGTCCTCCCACTGTTCTACATCCTCATAAAGAAACCCCTTATCAGTTACCAAGTAGTCGTCATTTTGAATGTGATTCGAGACAGACAAGAAACCAAAACGTTTTTTCCGCGATTCCTCCCAATCCAAGAAATCGAAAACACGTGATGGAAGGAAACAATCTACTGAAGTTTCGCCACACTAATGAACACTCGGGCAAACTTAAGAAATTCCCGGACCTTCGTTAAATGACATTGTTCGCCATCACGCCGACAACACGTGTCCGCGAAAGCCACCAGAGACGCGGAGGGGCGCGGAGCGACCTGGACCGGCTGGTTCCCGGTTTTCCCGCTTGGTGGCGTCCGTTTTGCTGGAGTCGCGAATAGTTCCGGGCGAGATAGGCACCGTCACTACCTGTCAAGGTTCCTGGACTGGCATTACAAACGAGGCTTTAGCGACATCAACTAGGTGCCCTTTCCTAATCACTTATTCCGTTTTAAAATTCCTTTTAGTGTCTTTTTCAACGAGAGATTGGTCTGTCCGATGGGATACTGCTTGCTCCCTTGAACACGTATAGACCATGAAATAAGCCCTGAAATTTCGTTGCAGTATCCCTTTAGCGTCCAATCCGATGAAGTCAATCAAGCAGCGCCAAAAGGTAATTATAACGGCGCTCATATTTTTTTTTGGTGGGCTTGCTGTCACCGGTGAAAACGTTCCTGCAGACGAAAAAGCACACGATCACATTCACTGTGCATGATTGCTTTCGTAGGTCACAGTAAACGCAAAAAGAGGACGAGGGCTGCAACAATGCGCTTTTGGCGCTCCCCGATTACCTATCAGATCGTAACGCGAGCTGCAGTTGAACTTGGAGTGAAATGGAGTATAAGACTGATAACCAATGAAGTCGTCCTTAACACTTTTGAGGGAGGACTTTCTTTGAGCAACTAAAGCAGTCCACAAAAAGTGGCTCGAAGTGATTCGGCGTCCTCGGATGCAAGACAGCAGATGAATCGGCAGTATTGTCGAAAAATATCTTGTTCTGCACCAGCTCAAGGCATACAGTCACGACTTAGTAGTACAACCCCCCCCCCCCCCCCATAAAATCCTCCATAAGCTGAGTTGTCCATAATAATGTGGCAAAGCTACATATTTGCCCAGTTCGTCCCTGAAAGTTTTGTCTATAGCAGCGGGTTATCTGTTTTAGTGGGGTCCATATAAACGAGACATAAGTGTATCATATTTTCGCCAAACGTACGATAGTAGTGTGACAGGTATAACAACAAAACATGTTCTCTGGTCCATCAGTTAGATTGCACTCTCGCCTGCACATTCACATACAGATCCCCAATAAGCCGAGGCTCTTAGCAAAATGTTGGCTGCAGCTCCAGGGCCTTGGAAGGTCCCTTCCAAGTCCCTCCACTGAGCTTCGACTACTTTGGTGTTTTGTCAGCATATCCTACGTTAATGTTTATACAGAGATTCACAAGAAAATCATTGAAAGCTTCGCCACAAAAGCTTGCCGAGCCGGTGTACCCTACCATCTGTGACAAATGCCTTTTAGCGCGTACTGATACCCCTCACCCTTCAGGTAGCAATGACGAAACTGTCCCCCAACAAACAAGCTAGCACATGCAACACTGTATATGCTAGGAGGTATTTTCTGATCCCGCAAAGACTGGCCACATACCTGAATGGATTCTTCAATTCTTCTGTAACAAAGTTGAGGTAATTCCTGAAAAAAAGAAAAAGAAAACAGCAAATGCATCATGGAATAGAAAGCATACGGCAACCAAATTAGAAAAACAAGTTTTCCGTGCAATTATTTCCACTTTTTCCTATGACAGTCCAGCTAGCCCCTGCACAGCTACAGGCATCATAAATGCATTTCGAATGCTGTTTCCAGTCATAGAATTTAACATTAATGGTAATTATTTGGCCGATACCTCCTTTTAATCACGCCACAAGGGGTTCCTATAGTAAAGGCAATGATTTATGTATGTAAAGAATGTTAAAGGGCACCAAAAGGCATTGAGCCAAAACAAAGTTATAATCCCTTCACACATTGCTAAGGGTGTCGCATAAGCACTGAAACTGGCTTGCAGGATGGTCTTTAGGTATCTCTTTTCCAAAAGATTCACTAATTTCCATCTTAGCAAACTTTGCCACAGAATGGATTGAAGGAATCCATTCAGATACATAGTCAGTCTAGTATACGTGCCTAATCAGAAAATATCCACAAGCAAACAGAGCTGTGAGTGCTAGCTTGTTTATTGAGAACAGTTTTTATCTCTCTATCGGAAAGGAAAGGTCAAATTTATCAGTGGAAGTAGCTAAAGGGTAGAAAACAAACAGTTGATAAGCCAGATTACTCTTTTTTCTTTTTTCTATAGCTTCTTATATTGACTTTCTTGCGGAATAGAATCGACTGCTTCGTTTTGCAGTAGGCCATAGGGTTGCACAGCAGAAAGTTGAGTGATCACCTTAAAGGGATGCTACAACGAAATTTTGGCGCTTATTTCTTGGTCAATTCGTGCTCAAAAGAGCAGTATCTCATCAGACACACCAATCTCTCATTGAAAAAGACACTTAAAGGAATTTTAAAATAAATTAAACAATCAGTGAAGGGCACCTGATGGATGTCGCTAACACTTGGTTTGCAATGGCCGTCTAGGAACCTTGACAGGTAGTGACGATAACTGTCTCGCCTCCGGCCACCACGAGAGAAGAGGGGAAGGAGGAACTACCCTCTCCTTAAGTCTCTCTCTCTCTTTTCTGTGTACCAGGCGTCGCTATTGTCCCTCTACAAGATAATAAAAGATTAACCCGTCACTCAAAATTCGTACAAAAGCAGCTTTGGGGTTAGTTACGGTGGCCCGATCGCTGGCGGACTTCAGCCGCTTCGGTGGCTGGAACGGCTAGGACATCCTCACGACGTCAGGCTCGCCACAGCTTTGCTCATCATAAGACAATCTACGTCACAATTGCGTCAGATGTCACGTGCTCTAAGCTGGGCCTTCTCCGAGCGCTCGCCAGAGTGGGCCGTTCATAACGAAAAATACAGCCATCAGGCTCAAAATACAAACATGCGATTGTAATTTACGGATATTGTGGATCATATTTGGCCTATTTCTGAACATGACGAGTACATTTCAAATTTTGTTTAAGTATCCCTTTAACAATGTAATTTTCTTTTTTGTAGGGCACAGGGATTGGTATTACTCCCCAACTGCTTTTGAGTTAACACTAACAATTTAACAGCCTGTTCTTCCTGCTCTTGTCCTACGACTGAAATTCGGTAAAAACATTTACCGATGTTTGAAGAAAAAGGGAACCATTTTTCTTCCCCCGCAAAACTTAATTAATAAATTATGCATCGCCGTACACTCAGTCTGAATGTTATCCGATTCAAAAGTTACAAGAAGTTTTCTGGAATCTTAAATGAGGGCATGGCGACCAACAGAACTAATGAATGCATACAGACGAATAGCAAACGCTGCCAGGAACCTGCCCCGCATTCTCAATGAAACTTTCCAAAAATCGTGGATAACCTTTGAATTTGATAGCGATAAGGTCTGAAACTTTGGCATCCTAGTTGGTTCGGACAGCTAGCGCTCCGTTTAGGTAAAGAATGACCATTCGGCGATGCATAATTTCGTTTTTGCAGTGGGAAAAAAAACACGGTTCCTTTTTCTCCCAAACACTTGGTACTTGAACGGTGTAATACGTGAAGTCACGGCAGTAACTTAAGTGGCACAATTTGGTGGTTGTAAGAAATACTATGGGAAAAAGCGAGAATGCTGTCTTCACCCTTAGCTGCATCCGAGAGTGCACCTGAATCAGGGTGTCCACCAAAATGGTGTTCTAAAATTCCCCAAAGTTCTTCCGGTTTTGCCCGACTATTTTATTAAACTCCTGCCAGACCCCTATGGGGACAGGACATGTATGGGCTTTTAAATGCAGTTTTTATGTGGAAAACACAGGTACACCTGTCTGCCAACAAGGCAGTGGCCAAGCACAGGATCTTATTACCTTGTCAGTTTATTCTTTGATATTTTTGCTTAATATATGTCCTGTATTAAAATAAAAAAAAAAAAACTGGGCAAACATATTTGCGCTAGCAGATGGAGAGAAGTTAATCTTAGTGCGAGAGTTTCAAGATGATGCGATTCGGGTTCTAGAGAAGTGCGCCGACAAGGCGGCTGAGTCACATGTATGTCTGCCACACCCCACTCGCAAGTTTTGCTGTCGATTAGAGAAAAAAAATTTCCCTGACCAATGCTGATTGGGGTGGGAAATCCCTGACTTTTCCATAGCCGCCAAATTTTCTGACAACTCCAGGTTTTCCCTGTTTTCTAGGATGGTAGACACCCTGTGAATGGTTTCCTCAATCCTTCCGTGGCAAAATTCAGGTAATCCCTTGTGAATATTAATGAAACCGTAATGCAGCATGCAGCACAAAATACATTAGTGGGTGCTACTTGAAAAAAAAAAACAAGCAAGCTTCCACACAACTACAGTAAAACCTCGTTATAACAAAGTTGAAGGAGCGGTCGTAATTATTTCGTTATAACCATTAGTTTGTTATAGCCAATGTCCATTTCTTCCCACTATTAGCAAGCAAGGGAAATTATGATTGCTTTGTTATATCCCATTTTGTTATAACGAGGTTTTACTGTATTTTAGTTTTCCCTAACTGAAATATATCCAGCCAGCCCCTGTACAGACACCAGCTCCACACATTTGTTCCTGATGCCTGCTTTCAGCCATAAGATGCTTAAAATCAACAAGCCAATGTTTAGCCAATGATTATGTTTATTCAGATGGCAAGTTCACCCTGTGTTAAGCGCAGTTAAGATGCCCAAAACAAAAAAGTTGTTACATTTAGTGGCGTAGCCAGGAATTCTTTTGTTGTTGTTATTTTTTTTCTGGGGGAGCAGGGAAGGGGGTGAGGAGGAGAACCTGCTTATTCATATGTGCAGTGCCTATCCTGCCCCCCCCCCCCCCCCTCCTCCCCTCCTGCCCTGCCCCCCTGCCCCCCCACCTCCCGGATGCACTTATCCCGTCTTCGTCCTTTGTGCCCTTCTTTGCCTTTCAGACGATTAACCAATTCTCTTCCACATTACCATCTTGGTTCCACCCTATGACAAACTGTGACTCTGGCACATCTGTACGTGCTTGTTTTTTTGCTCCAATTTGCAAATGGATGCATCTAATAACTTGTTCACTAATTAGTTGATGTTTTGTATAAAACGAAAATACATTACATAATATTTCGGGACTAAAAGTACCGAATTCCTAGACGCATGCGGAACCCTGCACCAATCTTACCATCCCGCAAAGGAGAAGAGGCCGGAATAGAAGGAGAGGCAGATACGTCCCGGATCCTGAGTTGTACCCTCGAACATGTTCTGGAGGTTGTAAGTGTGTCCTGGGTAACAGACAAAACAAAACGAAAAAAAAAAGATCAGTTTATTTTTTTGATTGCGGAACAATGACCTCTTAGTACGGTAGTGGGTCAAAACTATACTCAGTCCACCCAACACCACCTGGACAGAAGGCCCCCACACGCGTCATCATAGTCAGATCGATCGAGGCGAGAGATTGGGCACGAGTGCTGCGTCAGTGTTCGGCTGCGGCATGTGGCCAATCAGCGCGTCGAAGGTCGGACTCGGGTCCAATAGCCGACCGAGCGCGATCCGACTGTGATGACGTTTCATAGAGGAAGAGGAAACCATGTGGAGGCCTTTTGTCTAGGTGGTGTTGGTCCACCCCTAAGCCAGCAGTGTAGAAAGACCTACGCGATTGCCATTTCGACCAACCACCTCCCTTTTATCAGCTGACCACTAGGGGTACTCACACGAAGGAGAAATCCCGGGGATTTCTCCCCGGCGAGCGCATCACGAGACGGCTTTGCGTATCGCAAAGCCTGATGTTTTCGTCGCGGGATGCGCGTGCCGTGGACAAATCCTCGGGATTTCTGCCTCGTGTGAATACCCTATTACCAGGGTGTTTGGGATCGTGATTGTGTGTCGAAAGATAGGCATACAACTGGTCTAAGGACCCAGTAGCTTCCACCGCACTCCATTCTTTCTTCTCTTCTCTCCCCACAGGAGCGAGTCTCTGAGCTACTCCCCGCAGGAAGGAGGAGGGTCTCCCTCTTTCTCAAATGGAAAGGAGAAATTGAGGGAGATTTGCCTGTTCTCTGGCTGCTCGTCGGACTTTGAAAGCAGACAGAGTACAGAGTCACCGAACGTACCCGGGGCACCTGAGCAGCCGGGCTTTGTTTGAGAAAACTCGTTGCAGCATCACAATCGAGGGTTTAGATAAATAAGGGCACTGTGCAGATCAAATGAAATTAGGGTGGGCAGAACTTACTCGCCAGATTACAGGCTACCTAGATAAAGCTTCCTAGCGAAAACCCAACACTAATATCACCCTCTGACCCATTATAATTGATAAGCTGCTTGAAGCTCCGAATAAAACTTTTTACCCAAGTTTCTATTCAAGTTTTCTTTTTGTTTCCTACGAGCACCAGGAAATCCAACATCAACAAATCAGAAAGTTCAAGTGGTTTGGCTCTTTAGTTTCGGTGCAGTCTATGAAATAAGGTACTCTGGAAACATTTGGAATGTCACACAAGGTGAAGCTATAAAGAACCGTGCCGTTAATAAACTGCATACAGCGTCGCAAGGAATTCCAAAAGGAATCAATATAGTACCGTTCTATGTTTTCGATGCCTGCCAATAGGCTTTAAAGGTGAGGTGCAAGAAAGAGCCATTGTTGTGTTAGAGCTAACAGTAGGCTCGTTCGATCTACTTACACCTCCTGCACCAGCACCTGCTGCACTTGGTGTACACTGCCATATTCAACCTATCAGTGCAGCCTATTTCGTAATACGTACAAGACGTACATTGACCTGCACTTTCCTGCACCATGCTACACTTTTCTGAACTGGTGTAGGCTGGTGCAGGTGAATCAAACAAGCCCGGTGTCACGCGGTGTGAAAGCATCAAATATACATGCTGGATATTGTGCTGATGGATCGAGTAGAGACGTAGTTGCCGAAACTACCGTAAAATTATCTATTTCAAGTTCATGGCAATTGCATGCCACTTGACTTGCATGTAGATACTGCAGAGTTGATAGGAACAATCAAGAAAACGGTTTAACCTCATGCAACCAAACGATGGAGAGCAGGTGTGTCTCCATTCCTTTCGCTCAACTGATTTCATGCACTAGAGAAGGGTTCTCAAACTCATTTGAGTGGGGGGGGGGGGGGGGTCAGATAGCACCCCCCCCCCCCCCCAAAATGTAGAGGGCCAACATAGCGGCACGGGTAGAGAAGGGAGGGGAAGGGTTAACATATGTTAGAAAAAAAAAGAAAACAGCGATGGTGTTCCACATTGCAAAGCAGCCGAGTCTTTCTGCGACACCAGAGATTTCCTAAAGAATGGATCTCGTGCTAATATGCTTTTTGTAAAATTGCCAGTGCAGTCTTTTAGCTTTGACTTATTCATACTACTTTGGGTTCATTCTAGCGTGATTACAAGATTTTAAATACCACCACCCTGCCAACGCGCTGGAATTTTCCAATAGAACTAGAAACCATGCACCCAATTGTCGCTCAATTCACTTGGGACTTACGAGAGTTCAATACGTCTCGGAAAAAAAAAAATCTTTTCCTACGGTAGTGTTTGCTTTACCTGGCGATTTTTATAGCAGAATTATAAGACAAAACTTGCATCTCCATGGTATGTAACACAAAACAATCCTCGATCTAAAAGAAGACAGATTAGCACCAAATACGCTGAAACGTCATAAGAGCAGATCTATGTTTCCAGTGAGAATGAATGGATGACCGACAAGAGGCCATTCATGCAGTGCTCGAGGCAGAGGCACGAGAGCTCATAGCCACTAAACACCTACAAGCCACGTGTTTGAGATCCCTCGTCTAGAGTCATGCGAATGCAGAAAATTTGCAAAGGCTCATCAGAGTCCAATTTTAAATAATAACACTCCCCTGAAAGCACACGCTAAATTTGCAAAAGAAATATATAGATTGCAACATGAACTAGTTCTAATAAAAGTAAAAAAAATAATGGCTTTTTTTTTTTTTAGGTAAGGTATACATATTTGATTTAAATCACTGTAGGTAGAAAATAGTGATACCTTATCACTTTAGTTGCTGACAGGTCAAGAGAAGAGTGCAAGCTCCGCCCACTTTACTTTTGACCTGTCACCGACTATACATGTATTTTTAAACATGGCAGATTGATTGATAAGTATGTCAGATTACTAACAATGGTAGCAGAAAAAATTATTGTAAATTTAATGTACAATTAACGCTTCTTATTGATGTAAACCCTGCCATACTAGAACAGAAACAGCTCAATATTTTTCAATAGGTAATATGATTTATTTGCTTTTTCTTTTGCGCTCTGGTCTGCTTGCAATTGGAAGTTAGATACATAACTGACGAACGAAGTGAAAAAGAAAGTAGTGGTTAAAAAGCGCAACAGGACAACGGCCAGAGAGGAAGACGCAGCGTAGTGTCTCCCTTTCTTTCTGCCATCCTGTTGCACCTCTTAACCATTATGAATCACCAACTCACCCAACACTCCACCCTCGTAGGAAGAAAGCTCAATTCTCTGATTTGCTCGGAAGAGTACTGCTTTTTGCTTGCGTTCAGCATGACATAAATCTTTTTTGTTAGATTGACTTTTTAATTTCAGTACAGAGCAAATGCACACAGAAACTATCAGACGATAGATAAATGGTAAACGAAAGCTGTCGTTTGTCGTTGTTGTCCGTCCCTTTGTCTCTTCCTCATATTCAGTAAAAAATTATTTTCGGGATCATTTTCCCGGGACAGGGTTAATTTAAATTAGTGTTTTACATAGCACTTTGTCGCATAGAAGATTCGAGCATGATTTGATTTTTTCTTTTTGCACAGGGTGGTAAATGGTTGGATTGATGCCAACTTACTTCTGAATTCTGTCGATTTTCATGTTCCTTGTCGCTTTACCGGAAATTTTACTGTCTTTTACGTTCAATCCATGCCCCAACTTTCACCACTGTCCCGTATGCAAATTTCATGTAGTAGAATCGCATCCTCCAGCTTGTACATTTTTTCACAGATCCCTCAAGCTTTTTGCCGCGATTCGGAGGGTCTAGTTGAAAGTTGAAACCTTGTGGTACATTTTGTGCGAAGTGTGCCCACTTTTTGTAGCCAAGTTAATTTGTACATTTTATGTTGTGTGTGTGCTGCGTTTCTTTTTTTATCTTGTTGTGTGTGCCAATGTGAAGACCCGTTGGTTGTTTTTGGACACATAAACAATATTATTATTATCATTATTATTAAATCATCATCATAAAACTGGTCTGATTAAAACAATTATTTAAATCGAGATTTAAATAATCCTGATATTTGTTTTCTACCCTGGTTCTTATACATACCACAGCCCTATAACCTAACCTAACCTAACCTAACCTAACAATGTTGTATAAAGTACACTCAGTCATATTAAAGCTCATTAAGTCACAACGAATTAAAACAAAACGGTTTGAAAGCTATAGCTAGCTAATACAGTATACAGCAGCATGAGAATAATAATAAATATGAGCTTGCACATAGACTGCTGTACACCAAAATTTTTCTTAAAATAGTTTAACGGTCAGTAAATCAAAAACAATTCATATGAAAAAAAACAAAAAAACTCACATTTTAAAAGATTCAAGCTCAGTTTCAACCAAAAGATAATCTCTTAGTGAAAATGGTTTCTTTTCAAGTGTCGTTCCATAACTTTAAATGTTAGCTAAAAAAACAAGTTCCTCTGTGGGTTTTTAAGCTTTTTTCCCCCAAAAACTTCTAATATAAAGGTACCAAAGGACTTAAACAATTACCAAATTCCCTAAAGGTAGATAACTTAGTCCTGCCCTTAGGAATTACCTTCCTTTAGGTACCAAATGCCATGAGGTAAGGTTTAAATTTCCTGGCCTCATGGCATGAGGGCTGGGATCACACTTGCAGGATTCCTTCAGAAATTTGGTGACATGCCTTGAGCGAGATGCACAATGCCGGCGATGATGATGATGACCAAGGCAATCACTTTGGCGAACATGAGTGAGTCCTGCACCGAGGTGGCCCACTTGACATTGTAGCAGTTGATGAATGTCAGCAAACCTGCAATCAGAGGAGCAGGGAGAAAAAAAAAACAGTTTAGGGAGTCGCATCATTCAGCAACAGTTGATATCTTCAAGCAAAACTGAAGGGTGGCATGCAGCAACCTACGAGCCAAGCAATCAGTCAATCAGTGACCTTGTAAGTTCCCAGGAACTACTGCGCAGTTTGGAACGTCAGTCAATTAATCAGTGAATTAATTGTTTATCTATTTTATGAAAGTATGTATACATACTACAAAAATACTGGTGCCTGGGATTTTTATGGGCCTTACACAGACCCCCATTTGCCGTAATCCATGCATCTTAAAGACAAGTACAAATGTGCAAAATAAACAAAATGTCAATGTATCTGGAAAACTTCCAAACTAATCCAGTAAAAAAAATGAAATAGGACAAATTAAAATATCTAGTGAATTTAAACCAGTCACAGATGGCTACAGATGGTGCAGAACAAAAGTAACTGAAACTTTGGTAGAGAAGTTTCACTCTACTTGCTCGTTTGATGCACTCATAAAACCCAGTATACATCCGCTATGGTGTATCATGCATTTTTAGACGATGTGCAAAGGACTGCATAGCCCAAGTGACAGGAATTTTTGTTGCACTAATAACATCTTTGTTAGCCATGAGCAGACAGAGCTTAGCTTGGAAAAAATAAATACACCGTAATGACTGAGGAAGTGAGGAAAGCAGGGATATCATATGACACTATTTCATAAAACATGCAGCTTTAATGAAACTATCCAGCACATCTGGGATTGCAAACATACTCCATCTAGCTCCCTTGAGATTATTAGGACTAGCAAAGCTGTACCCGATTTTTTTTAAACTTTGAGAGAAACTAAATTGGCTAAATCAAATAAAGTCAATTAATTTGATACGATTGCACAATTGATTTGGCTTTGTAATCATGCATTTCAATAGCAACCACATTAGTAATTACTATACTGTAGAGAGAGCCAGTGATCTATAGCTGCCCACTTAACTGTGAAGATTGCGAATGACGCAATGCTATTCGACCCGAACCACTTTGCACAACCCAAATAACTAGAAAGCATAAATTATTTTTATGCACTTTTTTTTTTTTGCTGGCTACGACAGCACAGGTGTTGCTAAAAGCAGAAACGCCAGCACCGCCTCAACCAAAGTTTCAAACTGACACTTGTTGCTCCCCATGAAAAGGTGAGGAACAAAAAACGAACTGCAGCTGGAAGTGAGGTTTGTAGAACATAAAACATGTGTGCGTATAAAAGCAGTCACGAATCCCAGTTTACGACTTGACAAGTAATATCTTCTCAGACAATACAAACAGAAATTATAAAATACCAATCCGTGACACCATTCATGCAAACTCTATCAAACCATGGGCACATGAGCTAGTCATAGGAGGGAATCTGGACATGGCACGCTGCACACACAGTTAAAAACCAACGCGATGTTCACAAACAAGTCTGTGTCTGCCCCCAACAGGTGTGGGCAGGTGCGCAGAAACCAGATATGCATAAAGAAAAGCGTCTGCGCCGTCCCGACAGCAGCGCCACATTAGCTGCGTTACGAGACTGCAGTGAACCATACAAAAGACACGGTCTTGCCTCAAACATGTTTGGAGCGTATGTTATAGATATTATAGCATGTCTGCAGGTAGTTCTTGTATGGTCAATATGACAGGACTGCCATACGAGGAAGGAACACCACTCCGACAGTGTGACCACGGCTTTATGCAACACTGGACCTGCTCCGCTGGCTCGTAGCGTCCCGCTGCGTTTCACCGTGAGGTGAAACGCAGTAAAAAACCAACACATTGTTTACGAAAGTCCGCATTTGCCCAGTGAGGGCACTAAGCGCGCGCAGAAACCAAGATCGCATGGAGTGAAGCCTCTGCGGTCTGCACAGGCGATATATGCTTAGGTGGATGGGTGAATACGGCTCAACCCTTTTAATCTGGCGGCGGCTCGCGCCACCTAACCGAAGCTTTTGAATTCAACGGTTTACCGCGACGCTGCAGTGGCGCTGCTGTCGCCGCCGACAGCAGCGCCACCGCAGTCCTCGCGGTACGCCCTTCCTATCGTATTTCCTCCCGAAAACTCCGTAGACCGCGTTTCCCCCTCCGCTAAGCCCTCCGCGACGAAGAAGCACCTACTCCGCCTGCGCGCCGATGGCCTTGGCTGTGCAGTGTATCCGGGTATCGTAGCGGGTTGCGGAGAGCGTTGCGGGACGCCGAAAACGATCTACGAAAACTCCCTAATGTCTCAATCGTTTTACACCGGTAGCTGCTAGTGCCCCTCTGAGGTGAAATTCGGTGTTCGTACGTAACAACCCACGCGATCGCAGAGAGTTGTTGCACGGTCAGTTCACCGCGTCTTCCTCTCCCACCACTCCTCTCGCCACCGCCACTTCGCGATTCTAGAAGCTTTTCCGCACGGTGCTTTTTCAAGTTACTCTAAAAAAAAAAAAAAAAGAAAAAAAAAATCAAACGCCGGGAAGAAAAAAAACTTTCAGTTTTTCCACTTTGGTGAAGAATGCACCAGCGGAGCTGTACAATGGAAAGTAACGGCCGGCCGCAAGTCGGCAAGCCAGAGTGGAAAGGCTGCCGCCATCTACGAGCGACGGCGGCAACCAGATACGTGGCTTGCCGCCGTCGCCCATAGATGGCGGTAGGTGTCCAGAGTTTGGTGTTTGAGGTTCATTTCTTTGCGGGGGACACGATTTTGGGGAAACATAACCCTTAATAACAACTCCGCTGTAAAAAAAAAACAAAAAAAAACGAGCTTTTTGGCGGCCGCTAGCTTCAAAAATCACATAACGATCGACCGACCAAACTCATTCACTCACAAATCAGCGAAGCCGCGATGAGTTGCACGCTCAGCACGGGCGCCGAGCACTCGATGTGATCGTAGAAGTGCCGCAGGAGATAGTTTGCGAACGTGAGGGACAAGACGGCGTTACCCGCCGGAGCGATGATCAACAACATGACCCATAGGTGCAGGAAGCCCGCCAAGGGACCGAACGCCGCGGAGATGTACACAAAGTCACCGCCGGACTTGGGGATCATCGTGCCCAGCTCGGCGTAGCAGACGGCGCCGATGGTCGACACCAAACCGCAGACGATCCAGACAATCAGCGACATCCCGGTCGATCCGGCGTGCCTGAGGACACCCGTCGGCGACACGAAGATCCCGGCGCCCAAGATGGTACCGAGGATGATGGAGACTGCATTCGTTAGGCCTAGCTTCCGACCGAGCACGACGCGCTGATGACCGTCGCCTTCTTGTCCCTCGTCGGAGGCATGGACGCTCGCTGTGGTGGCCGTCGAATACTGCTGCACTAGAGGCGTCGTTTCGTTTGGGTCGGCCATTTTGCACCACAGGTCAAGAGCGACCTCGGAAACGGCCGCCAACGAAGTCTGTGCAAGCCTAGTCCCGGGACGCGATGTACCCCGAACTACGGAACTAGAAAGCGTTCTCGCCAATCGCAGCGCCAAATCGCAGCGCGAAAGTGACCCACCCCGATTTTGGTCTCTGGGGCAAAGGAAAAGACAGATAACACCGAGTATATACAAAGCTGCAAATCTCCCCCTCCCTAGAAAGCCCAGACTGAGATCAGCTAAAAGTAGGGCTGGACTTAGATTAAAACTTTTATCCCGATTAATCGTCCCCCTTTAATCGATTAATTACTCGATAATCGGAAAGACCAGTCTGAGATCAGTTAAAAGTAGGGCTGGACTTCGATTAAAACTTTTATCCCGATTAATCGTCACCCTTTAATCGATTAATTACTCGATTAATCGGTGTCATTCATTCCTATGCATAATAGTTTTAAAAGGTAAAAATAAAATTGTTTGCCTCTGCTGAACAGCACTATGTACATTTTCGGATTTTGAATGAACCTGGAAGGGTAGTTGAAAAAAACTTTAAAGACACCCACACTCACAAATCATTAGTTCAGCCGCAGAAGCAAAGAGGCGCGTTGACATTCTCAGGCAGTAGCGAACTCCCTTGATTGTTCACAATAGTCGCTGCTACGCTAAACGGGCACTCGCACGGCATTCAATTCGTAGCTGGGTCACGTAAAAGCTTTTCGGCTTGTTTGGAGCTACAAACCTCGACCCTACGGCTAACGTTAGGTCAAAATTTTACTTAAAGTTTACCTTCATACAGGTGTATTCATCCACGTCTGCGCGGTGGAAACGTTCAGCGCCTAAAGGCCCGTTCACACACGTGCAACCGCTTGTTGCCGGTTTGAGTGGCGTCGCCGTCGGCGTAACCGCGCGTAGCATTATGGGAAACGTCCCATAATGCAACGCGCGGGTCTCCCTCGTGACCTGCGCGTTGCATGCGCGTCACACGTGACGTCACCTGTGACGTCACGAGGGGGACGGAGGGAGGGAGAGGAGGAGAATGAGATGATGCGGAGGGAGGAGGAGGAGGGGGGGAGAGGGAGGAGGACGAGGGGCTTACCCTCCTCTCCGTACCCTCCCCTCCTACTCTTCATGAGTGGCACTCTAGTTCGGTATTACAGGGAGTTGGAAACGTCTTTCACTTTTGTTAGATACAAATATAATTGATTCACCCGGTTAAAAAAAATTAATCGATTAATCGGCAAGTTAGAGAGGGGGGGGGGATTATCGGTTCTCGGGAACCCTATAGTTGCCGCGTCAACGTTCGACGGGGACCGGAGCCAAGGTTGCCTGATAGGGTCTTGAAAAGGGTCGACTGATACGACGGGAACGCCGGCCTTCGTTTGGTTTCCGACGTCGTTTAAAGGGGGACAAAGGACAGTTCAAGAGGGAGGCCCCGCAAAAGGACCTTGACCAGTGTCCCGACTTGGAAGGACGACTGACCTATTATACGCGTGACCCGTCACTTAAGAGGAGCGTTGATGTTCGTTCAACACTTATAAGAGTGGTGCCGAATAACTCTCCATAAAGCCTGTCCCGTGTACGTGTGTCATCCGACTTTGTCCCGTATTTTCTTGTATTTTTTTAAAATTATGTTTATAAAC